GTACAAAGTTTTAAGAAAGTTTTAAGACTGTATTACCTGACTATTGGGCATTTGCCACCTATAGGCATTTCCCTATGGCTATATGATTGTCTGTTTTCTATAAATAGTGAAATAGTGATGATGACCACATATACAACAAAGCCACAAATGTGATTTATGGATCCGCTATGCAGTCTTTAACCCAGTGTAAATAGCTGGGCGGAATTAGTACCATCGCCTCTGTATACATCACATGGCATAGTGGGGGCCTCAGTCAGGAATTTTCGCGCGCGCTTTGTTTTGTTTTACTTTCTTAATTATTTTTGGCCCTTCAGCCTTTTCTTAACCTCGAAATTCTACCGATAATTAAATAATTCCCGTATTAGTAGTTCGCCTCAATAATATAATAATATTCAGCACACGTCATCATGTACAATGTACGCGTGCAATTTGTGGCCGCAATTTCCAAAGTAATAACTTGAAAGTTTTCTTTTCATTTTTTATCAGTGACCAAACAACAAGTATTAGCTTTGTAATTGTGATGCTGTTTTAATGGAAAGGCGGTTGAAAATTAGAGTATTGTTGATTTTGGGAAGATTGGTTTAAATTCTGCGATTGTGAAAGTTGTCCTTGTAACGCCAATTCATTTGCGAGTTGCCCTGGTAAAGTTATTTTTGCGGGTGCTGACATCTGGCGTTGAAGATTGACAGAACCACCAACTGAAAAAGAAAGTAACGAAAATTGCATTACGGATGTCAGAATTAATGGGGGCGGGGAATGGGGGAACGGAGATGTAATAACTTAATGTGTATAATAGATAAGACTAATTATAATTGCTAATTATTCACTAACGTATTGCTAACATGTAAACATGTAAACATGTAATCATATATTCATAGTACCCGAGGCAGCGTTTACACTGTACCGTTTTCGTAGCGTTCTCGTATTGTTCTTAATCCTCAAGGGAACGCAAGACAATAGTCTAGTTCTCTCGAACAATACGAGAACGCTACGAAAACGCTACAGTGTAAACGCTGCCTGAGTGTAGAGACATTGAGATTAATAAAGCATACATGTGCACAGCACAACAGGAGAATATCATATTCCCCCTTTTGAAGATCTTTAAAAGGGGAATACGATATTCCCCAATATTCCCCGAGATATTTCCCCATTCCCCGATACTCCCCGTTCCTCCATTCCCCTTTTAAAAGATAGCCATGTCAGAATTGTTTCCAGAGGTTGTATTTACAGAATGGGGCGTGGTCGGCATAGCCATTAGTTGCATGACGTTGTCTGACAATAATTGAGTCTACCAAATACTGCTGCTTTTCTCCGGGTATTACCGCGATTTTCTCCACCTGTAGCAGTACTGGACCAATAACTAAAGGCGTTATTAGCCCTCTATGGAGAACAGCTGAGAACCTTATTCGAAACAGATTCCTCCAGCGTGGTTTATAGAAGCGGTGCCTTATACGGCATTTACCCAAGTCATTCATACTGCTAATAATTGCACATCTGTGATTATATTTCTCTTCGCGTTTGTAATGGGGACATCAAACTTCTTCTACTCATTGGAGAAACGGAAATGATCCAAACACAATACCTGTACTTTGGCGTAGAAGATTAGAAAAATTTATTCTTTGTGAAAACGGTTTCTGGACAGAAACCACTGGATGCCTTAGCGAAGACGACGTCATTGGATGTTGTAAAGGCGTAGTAGGTTGTGAAGCATTTAGTTGTGACATGAATGATTGCTGCATTGTTTCCTGATTTAGTGATTTCTGATGAGCGAGTGGTTGCGACTGTTGGAGACTCAACTGTTGGGATGTGTCAACGCTGCTACTAGCCCCTGATATTGCAGAAAGAAAAATCATTGGCTTATCTCATACGAATTTCTTTGTGGGCACAATTTAATTGTCAAAGTATTTAATTTGTACAAGAAAGAGGAAATCATTCGCCAAATAAAATTCTTTAAGCGGGTTTACTCTTCCCTGTGTGATATATTTTTACAGTGATACCCTGATCTCCTCGGGTTCTTTTTTTCTCCAAAGGAATGTAAACCTCGTATTTCCATTATTGTTCATGCACGAGGGACGTTTATCGTTTGTCTTCTACTTTCCCCGTGCTTATAATGATATGCAGGAGGGAAACTTAGTGGTAGGGAAAGGTTTTCTTTGTCTTCTATAATCTTCCTTGTATATCAATGAGGGAAAATTAGAAGACAAAAACTTATTTGTATGCCAGTCAATTCCCGGATCTCCATCGGTGCTACTATCATCATTGACATTATCAGCACTGATAAAGATATAGAGAATAATACATGGGTGCGCGGAAATACCAGATTTATTTCGAGTGTTCAACATGATATTTTTCTGTTTATTATATAAACAAAATTCAGTGAAAAACAATAAAACGTCCGTGGCAATGCGTTTTACAACAAATGATATTTTCACACGTAAAACTGAATATCGTATTTTTTACGTGTGTTTAAATACGATTTTTCTCAGTGGCCAAAAATTCTATATAACACTTATGTTTATATAATAAACGGTCTGATTTTTCCTTTAATCCACTGATATTCGAAAACTTCCTTAGACTAACGCCCTCGGACTTTCACAAATATTACCTCGACGGCTGGGAAATTTAATCGCTATATAGTTTCTAAATGACTTGGGGAAATTAGAAACCAGTATAAATTTAGTAGTGGCGGTGGAACAGGGGGGGGGCTAGGGGGTAAAGCCCTCCACAAAAATAAGTGGGTGAGCCAAAAAAAAAAAAAAATGGATAAGATTCCAAATTTTGAAGTTTATATATAAAAATGCGGAAATTTAGAGACAATAATCGGGAAAGATGAAAGAAAACCGGCAAGTGTATTAAAAATAGCAAGTAGGAAAAAGGCTGCCTCGTCCCCAGGCATATACGCATTTCACATACGAGTCACTATATAAAAGGTTTACATGAAGTAGTTATGCCTCAAGCCTATAAACCTTTGAGCTTGTTCGTCGCGATGCACCACTTCATGTAAACCTTTTATATGTGACTCGTACGTGAAATCTTTTTATAGCGCCTGGGGACGAGGCAGGGAAAAAGGTTAGATCCGGTCCGGAAAACGTTCCGCTGCCACTGAAATTTAGCAATAATAAGATGTTTCCTATGAGTCACTTATTAATAACCTAATATGTAATGAAACAAAATTGAATATATAGAGGATATTAGACGGTTGCGAAGAGATATAGATTTTATGTTCGAGTGGCAAAAACAATAATATCTCACGAGTGAGCGCAGCGAACGAATGAGATATTATTTTTGACACGAGAACATAAATCCATATCTTGTCGCAACCGTTTAATGTTCTGTTTATTATATGGACTTATTCAGAGTGACAAAAAATACATACAAAGACGATATGTAAATAAGCACGCGAAAGACCAGTATAAAAGCGATATTTTTAAAATTAAAGTGCAAACATAAAACTAAAATACATTTTACTTATCTCAAGATGTCTTTTAAATGTTTTCGTTTTATTTCCAACGTTAATTTCGTTTTAAATACGAACCAAAGACCATTTGTATTTTCAAAACAACAACAATGAAAATGGCGGGAAATTTTCGAACTTCGTATGTCACTAGCAGGGGTGAAATACGGAAAATACGCGCACCTGGTCCCGGATGTAGTGACGTATGAGTTCTACGAGTGTTTTAGTTTCCAGTAAAACACCATTGTCCATATAATAAACAAAATTATCAAGGTTTCGGTAAATGTAATACGTCTCAGCAATTTGACTGAATAATACATTCACCTTCAACTTGATAATTTTGGATAAAACCTTCATCCACTAATCAGTTAGAGACTAACCTGAAAATGGTTGTGATGAAAAGGTATTAAGTACGGACGGTGTACCTGCAGCCATTGTGTTGGACGTAACAGATAACCCCGCACGACTTAGAAGTTGTGTATTTTGAGTACTAGGAAATGTATAACCCTGTCCGGATTGTATTAACTGTTGCATTGACGACTCGTCCATCTACAAAGGAAAATAGAATCATATAGTTATGGCAAAGTGCTTATGCAATGAAAAGCATTGCACAGAACGCTAAGAATAGTCAAGTAACAAATGTATCTACATCTTTGACTAGGCAGTTCTTTCATGCAACTTTTATGCATGAGATGAACATGAGCCTTCGGTTGTAAGCCCTCAGGTCATTATCTGGCATATTATAATTGATGTTTTATTCCAAATTTATACATCGTAGCTAATACAAGTTTGTAATTTCGCTAAGCTAATGTAATATTACACAATGGGAAAAGACAATAAATATAATTATATCTTCTTAAATGGTTTGACATACAGTACTAACTATTTGGCCATGCAGTCTGCAAGCAAAATAGGGCGCAACAGTGATGCAAGACTATGAACTGCATACGTCCACGTTTTATTAAAAAAATGTTCAAGTATAAGTTGTCATGATTTCGGCATTAAATAATTATTGTTTGAATAACTAATTGTTTTGCTCAACAACTATAAAAATAGGTACGCAATGCGTACATGTGGCTAGCCAAAATTTGTTACTAACAAATTTTGGCACACTTAAATGTGCCAAATCTGTTAGTTAGGCCTGGCCAAATGCATTTTACAGGCACGTAATATTACTGCCAGGAGTGTGATTACAAAACGGACGAACTCCTTCCTTGTATGATTTAAATTACCTAAAAATATGGGCACAATTAAATAGTTACGAGAAAAGAACCAAGGTTTTGAAAAACAGCAATTTGACATTGTGCTTTAAATAGCACTTCAGTAATTTATAGGTAAGCAACTTGGGAAATTGCAAGTTCCATTCCCAATATTCCAAATGTAATTAATTAATACAGAACGAGACGGGTGGTAAATTGCGCACTGCAATAATTCTAAGCATGTGTGCAGGTGCGCGCACACAATCTCTGGCCCATGGCAAGTCTGTGTTAATTCACAGATCATCGTCTTTGTTAATTCACGACTATTTGTTTAAAAGTATGTGTATGCAAACTAATTAATTTTCAAATCAAGACATCATCAACACATTTGTAAGTTGAAAGTCATATAATATTCTTTAACTCATTAACTGGCAATGCGCCCGGATGCGCCCTGAGATTGGCAAGTGGGTAACTGGCAATGCGCCCGCATACGCCCTCAAATGACACCTCAACTTGCGGGCATGATATTTGAGCACGTGTTTATCGGGTTGCCTAGCAACGGATACGAAAATAGAACGCGAAATTTGAGCTTTTCAACGGTGTATCATGCAAGAAAATCGGCCAAAAACTCGCAAAGTTTTTCAAGTTTAAAACCTTAGTTTTTCAAAAATAATGAATAATGGCGTTATTGTTGCAAAGAAGGATTTCACAGCAAGTTTAAAAAGAGAAAAAAGAAGACGTTTTTGAATGATTTACAACGAAAATTTGGCATGAAAGGAAAGCGAATGTATTGACGTTTTGGGCCAAGTTCTTCTGTGAACCTTGCGCGGGATTTTCAGCCTAAAAGATGAGGATTTCTCCAAACTTTATTAAAAATAGAAGTCGGAAATCACAAGAAAGATGAACACGGAACTCAAGTGAGCATTTACGATTTTTTAAAGGGTATTTTTGAGTAGAAATATGCGATCAAACACTCACAAAATTCGACCGCATTAATGTTGGTTGAATCTAGTTTAAAGTTATCTTTTTAGACGAACTGTTTATGCAAATTTGGGCGCAATTTTGACTGTTTTCGTGACCCCATTGTTGGTATTCTTGTTCAAGTTGTTATTTTAGCTAAAGTATATTTCAAACGACACTTACTGTGTGCGTATGTGATCTTTTTTACCTTTTTGGCAAGAATACTTCGAGTATTAAATTACACTAAATAAGTAGGATATTCCAAAATCACTGTTATATCTATTTTCATCAATTTAGTGTTAAAATGACAACT